TTACTGACATATTTATAATCATTTTTATTATCGTTGTTATTATTCCCATCACTATATTTATTATCATCATTATTAACGTCAAATTCCTGGTGGTTCTGCGGTGCTTGGAGGGGCTGGGGATTCTGGCCTGCTTGAAATTCGTTGCTAGGTAAACTTACCTGGTGTTGGGATGACGGTCTGATTACTTGCATTGAATTGTTATCAGACGCCGCAGGCTTATTCCCGTTGTGTACGTAGATATTATCAATATCATTGTTGAGGTTTGCTTGATTGGCAGGCCTCGTGAGTAATGAATTCTCGGTTTTTAAAATTCCATTTTGATGGTGCAAAGCCTTCTGAAAAATTTTTTTTCTTTAATATGATTAAATTAAAACGTTTCTTTTTTTTGTAAACTATTTACTGAAAATATTTTTCATTTGCTTTCATAAATAAATAAATATTATGTTATTATGAGTACATATTTTTTTTTGTACCAAACAGAATTAAAAATAATTAGTTTGATCAACACTTAAATGTATAATTTTATTCATTATTCGTACATATTTTTTTTTGTACCCTAACAAATCATGTACTTATTCATCTTGATTAAAAAAGCATGGATAAAATCCAGTAAGTATAGTGTCAGAGCGCTACGAGGTTAAGGTGCCTGAACATCGGAGACCTGCACTTGCAGGTTCAGATCAGATCACCATAAGCCGGAGCAAGTGCAAGGGAGATGCAAGAATATATTTATGTTCTCTATAATGCACAAAAGATAACTTGACTGTTTTTGTATTTTGATTTCTGAATTTTGCAAGGCTGAAGATATATCATGAAGAATACCATTCATTGACACAGTACACAGGGCTTCAGAAATTCTTTACAATTAATTATTCAACTTATCAAACTTACCTAACCTTTTAATTTTTTTAAAGGGTATTTTTATGGAGATATCATGCCATTCGGAAAATACCATTACTTTGAAATAAGTTAATTAAATTAAATACCGTATTTATTAGGAAGTACTGGATGTAAATAAAGTCTGTACAAGGTAGCTATAGTGTACCATAGTAGTTAATAGAGTTTTAACATTTTATTCACTACTCAATTTATAAAATAAAACTGCTTATATAGAGGGATTTACAATACTTGAACTAATGCTACATTAATTTGTACAGATAGTTCATGATTATGTCGAACTAAACACGTTACTATCTTAAAAAAACGATGGATCACGTGATGAAGCCTGTTTATTCGTCGCGTGATTGGCTGAGACTGATCAAGCGCGGGTAGATTTGAAAATAAGATTTTGAAAAATCAGTGAAAAGTAATTTTAATTTGTAAGTTGATAAATATTACACTATTACGTGTTACGACAAACATGTAATTATTGTATTTTTCTTTAAAAATACAGAAAATAAATGTTTGATAAAATTTTGGGGATTGGTCCGCAGAGCGCGCAGGGGGCGCAGCTAGTTTCATAAAACATACATTTAAAGAATTTTGAATGTACAATGCCACTTTTTTTGTTTGTTGATATTATTTATTACGTACGAAAACACTACCAGCAAGTTGCTTGTATTTTTATTAAATAGTTTCTTAATATACTGCAACCAAAAAATTGATTATTAATGTTTAGTTATAAATGAACCAGATCTCTGAGTCAAGGTCACTACGGAAATAGTTGAAGTTTCTTTTCTTATCGATTAGGTTATGTTGACACTGTAGCTGTGTTACACAATTTAAATTTAAAACGGTTGTTTTATTAAACAATACGTAAATCATTAAACTTCATGATTGCGTCTTTTACTCATGACGCACAGTAAAAAAAAACACACGAAAAATAAGGTTATATTTAAATCGTCCGTCCTCTCATTGTTTATTTTTCTCCTTAAGTTTCAAATTACACCAAATGTAAGCTTGATTAATTATTAAAAATAGTAAAATTAAAAAATACTTCGTTGTCTAATTGAATAGCTATTTAATTTTATTTTGGTCAACTAGTTTAAAAATTTTTAATGATTTAACTGTTAATGTAGAAAACTACATGATTTTTTTATCATCCGTTATTTATTAAGTTTTCATTATCAAAACTATCATATTATTATCAAAACATTTTCCATACTTAATTCGGGTTTATCACCTATGAAGACTAAGATATAGTATACAAGTGACTTCAACTGTCATTTAACAACTATTTAATAGATTAAAGTTGTGAAAACTTATTAGTTGTAAAAGATCGATCACAATATTTGTATAATACATAATACAGATTTCAACAGTCCAAGTTGAATACTTAAGCATATTTTATNAGTGTCCACAAACCTTCAGCCAAAAATCTACTCTCACAGCTCATATTATGCGCACTCACTCCGGTGAAAGACCTTACCACTGCAACGAGTGTTCTCGAGTCTTCAGCCAAAAATCTCATCTCACAGCTCATATGCGCATTCACACTGGCGAAAGACCTTACCACTGCAACGTGTGTTCAATAATAATAGTACTGTAACTAAAGAGCTTTTTTAAAGTTAAGGACACTCATCACAGTTAGCGGGGGAGAAGAAGTACAGAGAGATGAGGGGAGCGCAAATATGCAGCAACGATGGCAATTGTTTAACTTGTATGGATTTACCTATATATACGCGTTTACTCATACTCGGTCCTTTTTTTTATTTTATTGAAAGACTAACTTAATAATCCATTTGAAAATTTAATATAACGTTTATCTTATAATAAAAATTGAGAAAAAACTACAGATCATTTCCTTGTCAATACTATTTCACGTGATTCTTGCTTAAAGTTTTAAAAGGACAGCTTCTCTTGAGGTTTCATTTTTTCCAAAAATTCTGCCGCAATTCGTTTGCAACTAATCACATGGGAATCTACGCCATTTGTGCGTTTAAAAAGACCGATTATTAGTATTAATCGATAAAAAAGAAGAGTACATGGTAGTTTTTTTTATAAAAGTGCCAACGCCTCCGGGACTACTTTGCAGCCGTAAGGTAGCCTTGGATGAATAGCACTTACGTGCCGAACACTGTTTTTCTTGCCAAGTGCACACCCGTTCCTCAAAAACGCTTGGGGTCGGAAAAAGAACTTTATAATATCATTTGAAAAGCGTCCATTTCATATTTTATTGTCTGTTTGTGAAATGGTACTAGCAGATAATAAAAAAATGTATATCCGGAAAAACTTGGAATTTGAACGTAGTACCAAATTTTAAAAAACCGTTATTTAGGAGGTACATATTCAATTTTTTTTTTTTTTTTTAATTTAAAACGTCATAGATTACATCTTAAACTGTTAAACTTCGTAAGAAACATTGTACATCATAAACTACTTCTTGAATAATTTTTTGACACAACAGCATTGTCTTGGACGTTATCGCCTCATATCACATGCGCTGTAAAAAACCATTATAATACTATTAAATATGTGACGGACATCTTAACGATTAGTAAGTAGATATTTTTAGTGTTTAAAAATGATTTGAAAAGTGTGGATGTCTTCGCATTGTGGTTAGAGATTTTAACTTTTTAGGATTCAATCCATGCACATATAAAAATCAAGGTAAAATTTTGCTTTAAGCTTAAAAAATTATTTTTTATTAAAAATAAGAATTTCGTAATTTTCAACTAATGAAACTGAGTATTATAGGATGTAAAGTATACGCTATACATTTTAAAGGCTTATTACAATTTTAAAATTATTAAGTCTATTCGTAACGTTTTTTAATGAAGTAAAACATACAATTTTTCACATAAATATCCCAATAACAGTAATAACTCCAATACGGGCGGTTCTAAGACTAAACAAAATCAAACTTAAAAAAACAGACTTAGTTTGAAGTAATGTCTATAGTCCTATCAGACAGTCGTCGGACGTACTAAAAATACAGAATGCGCGGGTCCTTTTACGGAAGTATGGTATAAAAAGTTCGCAAATACTTAATCTGCATTACAAAGGGTCACGATACAAATAACTTTTGCAATGACATCATATAGAAATCATTTTATTTATCAAGTTACAAGCAGCGTAACTATCTTTAAAGCGTACATAACCTCATCAAGGTGATATTTCCATTTGATTAACACTACTGTCCGAGTAATGCCTCTACGTGTCCGACTACTGCCTCCTTATGTGAATCCTTATCATAGGGTGTCCATTTTCAGTCGCAAATGACGTTAAATTTTTTAAATCAATTATCGAATTATTTTTGAGTGAAAACAATAATTTTTTTTTTTTTAATCAATATAAAAGAAGTCGTTTACGAGTAAAAACGTTTTTGGTGGTGTAACAATGTGATATTCTATCGTAGACAATGGATATACGATTTTTCCTCTAAAAACTGTCCGGGTATACACTCCTTTACCTTTGTGCAAAGTACATAGTGAAAGAAGTCGTATCCTGAAGTAAATACCTAAATTACTCAACTACTATTTCTATTTAAGAAGAAATCCCAACGATTTTTACCTTCAAGTGCTTATAAAGTACACAAAATATCTTGGAAGTCCACAGACTTCACTGTAAATTTGTTTGCAGCATTATATCATTCATGGAAATGTTTAGAACTGGTATATAGGACTCCAGCAATCAAGACGAAGCGGTGGATCTGCCTCGATCACAATCACAATCTCCATTGTTACACTATTTGCAGGAGAACTTTTACTGATTTCAACAAACTCATTCACCATACACGCATCCGCACTAGTAAGCAGCCCTAATAGCCCTATAAATGCACCGTATGCTCATTAAGGAAGTTCTATCCCTCGCCATAGTCCATGCGAAACGCTTTTTATAGTTTGGTGTGTCGTCTGTCTCTTTCACCTTTCTATGAAAACATAAAATTGAGTGGTTCTTACCATGCTTATTAATTAATTCCTTCTTTCACCAGTACCCTCAAATTTTTTATAAAATGAAATACGATCATTCGTTTTTTTTTTTTTTTTATCATTGGTAAAATTTTTATCAACAGTTGATTGTTAATAAGCGAAGTAAATACAATAGAAATACTTAATACGATGACAGATTATAAGCCTACATGTAAAAATTGGCTAAATATTAGTATTAATTACTTGGCTCCTACGAACCCTGAGGGTTCGACCCTCCTGCCTTTAAATTTTGACAACGTCGTTTTCATGACTTTATTAATTTGTAAGAAAAATTTCATCAAATTCTCATTGTTAATTTATTAGACTGATAGAACTCCCTAAACTTGAGAAAAAAATGTAAACAAATAAAGGTAATATTTCTAAGTTTAAAATTTTCATATTTCATCTGACAGGACATATGCACATTCACACCGGCGAGAGACCTTACCACTGCAACGAGTCTTCACGAGCCTTCAGCCAAAGATCTCATCACATAACTCAAATGCGCACTCACTCCGGTGAAAGACCTTACCATTGCAACGAGTGTTTACGAGCGTTCAGTAAAAAATATAATCTCACAACTCACATGCGCATTCACTCTGGAGAAAGACCTTACCACTGCAATGAGTGTCCACAAACCTTCAGCCGAAAATATACTCTCACAGCTCATATGCGCATTCACACTGGCGAAAGACCTTACCACTGCAACGAGTGTTCTCGAGTCTTCAGCCAAAAATCTCATCTCACAGCTCACATGCGCATTCACTCTGGAGAAAGACCTTACCACTGCAATGAGTGTCCATCTCACAGCTCATATGCGCATTCACACTGGCGAAAGACCTTACCACTGCAACGAGTGTTCTCGAGTCTTCAGCCAAAAATCTCATCTCACAGCTCACATGCGCATTCACTCTGGAGAAAGACCTTACCACTGCAATGAGTGTCCACAAACCTTCAGCCAAAAATCTACTCTCACAGCTCATATTATGCGCACTCACTCCGGTGAAAGACCTTACCACTGCAACGAGTGTTCTCGAGTCTTCAGCCAAAAATCTCATCTCACAGCTCATATGCGCATTCACACTGGCGAAAGACCTTACCACTGCAACGTGTGTTCTGAAACCTTCCGTGCAAGTAGTTCTCTCTGTAAACATAAGAAAATTCCACACATACATCGTTGTAACGTGTGTTTACAATCTTTTGCACGGAATAAACATTTTGACCGTCACATGCGCAATCCGCATCTCTTTCACTGCGATGTTTGCCAAAAATATTTTGCTACTCCCTCTTATCTGAAGATGCATAATCTATATATTCATAATAAGTTCTAAACGTAGAATGTATCGACATCACAACATTGAGTAACAATAATTCAATGAATTGGTTGTAACAAACATATTTTGAAGTTGGATAAATAATGAGAATTGTGAAAATGAAAAAACATTACCTTGATGCTAGGCTTGTATTCTTTTTTTCATTGATTAATATTTTCTTGTTACAAAGACAACCTCTTATAGGATATATAGTACAATAATCAAGAGTTTTACATAATTATTTGTATATTAATGACAACAATCATGGGATTGAAATAATATTACGTCATGTTCTTCACAGTTTTATCACAAAATACTCGTATTATATGCTACATATGTTTTGTATAATCAGAGTCTAATAAAATCAAACTAAGATCTCTGACTAATACATGAGAAAAATATTATGCTTTTCTCAAGTGATTTGTCAATCATGTTCATGAGTTAAGTATACCTATATCTACGTATTATGTATATCATAATATGCTCAATAATACGCCGCAACAATGCGCTGGTAAGAAAATCTGCTTATACATGTATGTATACACAAAATTCACAGGATCTACCGAGTAAAAAGGCATTTGGCACTAAACAAGTACTATCAATACATTGAGAGGCTTGGTTTTCTTTTTGCGCTGTAAGGCACTTAAACTTGTTACTCGATTCTAATTAGAACCTATAATAGACCCTATAATAACTTTCAACTTAGGCTATAAATAGAAAATTGAATAACTAGTCAACAGAAATATGACTATAGGTTGTCCAAAACCATGAATTCAAATTATTCGTAAGGAGTACACTCTTAGATGACTTAAAATTCTTCATAATTATTTAAATACTTACAGCATTTTCTGCAATACGTATATAAATACACTTGAGAAGCTTCTTGCTTTTCATTATTATTATTATCATTATTATTAGTGTCATTATTATTATTGTTGTTCATATTACTGTTATTACAACTATTTAAAACTATCCGATGATTTGGTGGTGTTGTTGTTTGTACTATGTAGGAATTTTCGGTATTTATACTGCATTGGTAGGATTCTGAAGTTGGAAATAGCAATCGCAAAATCCTGGTAGAAAATTACTACATAGGCTGGCTAAAAACTCGTCAACGTACATGAGTAAATGAGTTTATAACATGTTGACGATTTTTTAGCAAGTTTATGTAGTAACAGTTCTACCAGGTGTATTCAAATAAAATTTATATTTCATTCGCAAACATTTTCCCACAAATTTATCACTAAATAGATGAGTTGATAAAGCATATAATGAGGAATTCTCTGCGACCACAACGAAAATTGTTGGTGTCGCTTCGTGTTGGGATCAGAATACATAGAAAAATAGTTTTGGGGTATAATCTTGCCGGCTTTTTTGTTATCAAATAAATAGTGAAAATCAACCGGATATTTTCTTTGAACTTTGCTGATAACCCTTGTTTTAGGCATCGTATTTGCAAAAATAGCTAAAAATAATTTATTCGTCATTTAATTATCTACCTATCGGTGTGGGATAGATAATCTAAAACCTATTTTTCACGAAATTATAGAACATAAAAGTGCTTTTTTTTAATTAACTGAGTTTCGAAATGATTATGAAAAAATAAAAAAATTGTTTAAATATGTTTTTGTGTGATCTATAACTTTCTCTTTGACGCCGAATAAGCAATTGTTTGAATTTTTAAGATGTACCTGCACCAAAAAACAAATTGTTTAAATTAATTTCTCAGAGTTATGCAATCTTGAACATGGAAAATTTTTTTTTTCAACTAAATTTTTTGGAATGAAATCCATCAGATTGTAATGTAAAAATGAAGCTACGAATTAAATTAAGGCCCAGTCAGATCTAAAGTTTTGAAGATAGTCGATTGACATGTCTCCATAAGTGGTAGTTTTTGCTTACGCAAAAATATAAGGTACTTCTGTGGAGAAGTTGTGCCAACCAAAACAAGGTCAGTCATCATTTTTAAAGCTTATTTGCATCACTGTAATCTATTGCAAATTGCCTAACAAGGCGTTTTCGCCACAATGCAGTTTTTGGGAGTTGTAATTTTACTGATATTACACATGTTTTTCTTATGAGAGGTACTTTAGGGTAGAATATGTATTGTTAGCAGATTCAGTTTTCCTCTTTTGTTCAACAATGACATAACTCACCCCTGACCACGTAAAATGTAATAGTTATAGTAAAAATTTACTTAAACTTTATGTGTAAAGAAGTAAGGCATCAAAAATGTATTGTCAATCACTAAAATGTAGTCTTGTTAACAAATATGGAATTTGCTTGATGTTTAAGTATAGACTTTTGAAATTTATGAAATAAAAAAAGCTACTTTAAAGCATATCTAAAAAGTATAGAACTATTTCACATTTATGGATTATGGAACAGAAGTTAAAGTTTTTTTAGAACAAAGTTCTTTATGTTCCGTGCATGGAGCTTTTTTTTTCTCACAATAATTTTTATATACAATATTTTTTATTCAACTTTAAATTTTTTTCTTCTACAATTCTAAAAAAAAAAAAACTCTTTCCAAGATATTTGAACTGCCGACCTCCTGATGCATACGAACCGAGTATCTTACTCTGCTACAAGCGCTCCCAACAATGGTGTTTCGGTTTCTTCTACTTATACTGTGGTTCGTGACTGACTTTTAATTTAAATTTTTATTTACTGTTTATTAATTGATTTGGTTTGATAATATGTTATATTAATCATGAAATGATTCATTTGATTAACTTTTTTTTTGCTAAATGACGTGGACCTCCTTCGAAGTCGACGATTTATGGTGTTATTCCACGTATTTTTTGACCACCACTTTTCCCTGTCTAATTTGCTCTGGTGCCCTAATTATTATAATGTATGTGATTTACGTCGTGCTGATTTCAAACAGTTTAAATAATTTTTTACAGTGGACAGTTGCTCACGAAGAATTATAATGTAATAATAACTATAAATACATTTATGATGAATTGTTTTGGTTATAATTTAATGATGCTGTAAAATAAATGATTTGAGAATTATTATTTTAAAAATGTAAAACGTTCATCATAAAATGTAAATCGTTATTGAAGTGTATAATTTACATCTTTTTTTTTTCAATTTACACCTTTGGTTTGGCGGACTCCATGTGACCATTACGTAATTATTTGGAGACGTAACCTATTATTTTGTATTGTTTCGAAAGCAAACAATGAAATTAAATTCCATTAAAAATAACGTGGAAGACCTCTTCAGTTGTTCGATCATCGACAAAGTCAATGAAGTGGTTGTCAATTATCAAGAAAAGCTCTAGAGTTGCACACCTCTTTTGATTGCACGCATTGTTTTATAATCACTAACTTAATCTAGACACATAAGCACTCAGGTGCCTACTGTTCGTAGCATAGTATCATCAACGAAATTATTACTCTGAAGTTAAGAACAGGCCACTGAACAGACTGCTAAATAAAGTCATGTATATAATACTGATAAACATAATGTTGTTCCAAAGACTCAAAACTAATGAACTATTATAATTTTATTTTAACAAAATTAAAACAATTCAACAAATTCACACTGTTATAAACTTTCGGAATAGTTGTTAAATCTCCCAAAAAAACTCTCAATAAAAGTTAGAAGTAAGCATATTTCTGGTGCTTTAAAATTTTTATACATTTATTAATCAATAAGTTTACCAAAATTGAAAATAAAAAAAAATAAAAAATTTATGCTAATAACTAAAAACTAAAAACTAAGTTATAAAATTCTCGGTTTATAAAGTAATCAAATCAATAAAAAGCTGACATGTTTCACTTGATGATTATACGATGAAAAAATTGAAGTTTAATGTAAAAATTTTGTAACTGGTCTTTGTATCAGCACACGTTAAAAAATGCACACGTTTAGGAGAGCATATAAAGAAAAAATCAACGCCAAAAGATATGAGTAAATTCATTTCTAAGAGATGTACTTTAAAAGATCATTTACTTAAGTCATATCTATCATCACTTATACGTTACTAGTCATAACTGAAATTACTTCTTTACAATTCATATGGAATTTTCATATCTTTCCGCTCTCAATTGTATTCATTTTTCAATTTGCGCTGACACAAAGACCGTTTAAAATATTTTTACATTTAACTTAACCCTTTACATCGTATCATCATCAAGTGAAATAGGGGTAAGTGTACCTATCTCCGTGGCACGTACTGAAAATTCCAACTAAAATGCACCAAAAAAAATGGTATACTAAAATTTTTTGGAATACTTTTTTTTTTATATCTGACATAATCTCTTACGGAATATTAAAAAAAATTTTATGAAGCTAAAACTGCAGTAGNAAAAATAATAATAATAAATGAAATGAAAAAAAGGAAATGAATTAAAAAAACATTAAAGCAACAAAATTAATGACATGAAAAATGAAACATAAAAATGAAATGAATTAAAAAAAGACATGAAAAAGACATGAAAAAATACCATGGAATGAAATAAAAAAAAAAGATTGAATAAAAAAATAAAGAAAGAAATGAAATAAAGGAAGTTAAAAAAAATGAAAAAAATGAAAAGAAACCAGTCAGGGGCTATAAATGGGTCATGGGACCCACGGTAAGAACGAATTTATTCAAACATGAGATTAGTGCCCGAAAATAATTAAACATGAGATGTATGTCGAAAAACATCATAAAATAAAGAAACACAATTTCTTAGGTAACAAGGGGGTCGCGAGACCCATAGGATGGACGAAGCTCTATGAGAATAAGTACTGCATGCATATAGTTCAGTAAAACAAAAACTTGAAAAACGAATAAAAAAAAATTAAAAAAATAGTTCAGTACTC